GCAACATATTATTCTATGCTTGATAACACCAAGAAGAATTTGCGGGAAATACTCTAGTACAGTATTTGTTTATCACGATCCAATAGAGAAAAATACAGAATCTGATCCCGGGCAATATTAATGAGCATTTGAAATGTGAATTTGAATGGGAATGCTTTTTTTTGTGTGGCACTTTTCGTCCTCGGGAAGGTTTTCGAACGGAGTGTTTTTCATACAGACGCTTTTCTTCTGACACGCTTTAAAGAGCTTCGTATCAGCTGCCGAAAGGTCTGGTGGAATAATCAAGTCCCTGTGTCAAACACAGCTGTGATGGTGAAGCTCTATAATATTGTGAGTTGTATTGATTGGTTCAGCAGCCAGTTTCATGGTCTGCTTCCTTTGCAATAGTCATGAGAAACGCAGTCAATGATTTTTTTTGTTTGCCACTGGAAAGGTCAAAATTCCACGTTTAGAGGTAAATATTTTGCAAAGCATGACGCTTGAACTCTTGTCGGGGTAAGTTGTCAAATTCTTTTTCGGGAATACTTTTTTCATGCTCGGCGAGTAAAAAACTCCGCCTATACTCTCTAAAATAGCTCATGGTATGATGGCAACACATGTCTGACTTTGACATGAGAAAAGATCGTTGTCCTTCAACGTCAGGAATTTGTTATCAGTGGTGCCAATGTAGTACGCAGAACTCCCCTCTTTCCAAATCTATGCTCAATATACTCGCCCTTATCAAGTGCCCCTCGAAATGAAAAAAAATATAATTCGAAAGTTTGGTCATTGATTCGAATTAAAATGTATTCGATCCTCTAGGTACCTTAGGCAGTTTAATGAATAACTTCTGGTTCTCAACGGCGAGAAGATGCGCATTTAATTTTGTGTGGGATTTCGGGGAATAAATCATCGCATATTCGCATTTTCCTTCATTAAAGTAAATAAAGGCTGATTCAGCAATATCTTTCCCGTTCCCTCAAAGCAATTAATCTCGTTATAATTGATTGATATAATTTCGAGGAGAAGGTTTGAGAGAGGTGTCTTATAATGCTTTCAGTAATTAAACGGCTATGTGGGCTGTTGCAGGAAATGAACCCATAGAAGAGTTTCATCAGCTGGAATAAGGTTTAATAAACTCCGAGTATATATGTTGCATAATTGTGAATATAAGGTAGTTTTCAGCAGAATATTCTCGAGATTTGATTATTCCTCAGCTGCATGCATTGATATTGATATAATCATAAACAAAAATATTAAGCGATGGCGAATTTTATAAGCATGCATCCCGTGATCACCAGAATTCCCGGTCACTTCACACACACCCTTTTTTCCTCATTAACTAATTATGTTTTCTTCATTGGATTTTTTCTCGCAATCTGCGCAGTTTTTTTTTTAGAAATTCAGTTTGCTTGGTTCTGCATGAATTCATTTTCCTCGTGTGATTCAAACTGTTCACTGAATTCTCATTAATTTGAAATGCATTTCCTCTTATGTCTTTGGGGATTCTTACTGAAGAATCCTCTGCTGTGTTCATGGGCGGGTTGTGAGTTCTCAATTATTTATTGAATCAATCTTCATTCTTTGTGTTCCTTGCCTCTATGCCTAAAAAAACGTAGTGGCCACATTCGCGAAGATTTCTGCCTGACAACGAATTGTCACTGTCCTAAACTGTACAGCAGTGTTCCCCAAATGGTTTGCGGAAGTTTTTTGCCAGTATGTGGGAAATTTTCAGCAGAATCAATTTATCAAAAGTTGGAGGAAGTCTGTTCTCTTTATCTACAATTTTGGAAGGACGATGACGGTTGCATTATCCGATGAAAATAAAAGTTGGCTTTTTTCATAATAAATTCTTCAGACAAATTTTCACCTGCTTAAATAAATTATTTAAAATTTTCATTCTGAGGAACCTTTCTCCAAGGAGTCCAAGCCCAACTTTTTAATTGTGAGATAAAATTATCAATTTAAAATTTCTTGCAAACACCTGCCTAATAACATTCAAGCAAAACTTTGGTGAGTCTGCAAAAATTTATCAAACTTCGCTGGTCCGCAGAATTTTTTTTGTGGAAATTTGCCGGTCCGCGGGCCCAAAAAGGTTGGGGAACACTGCTGTCCACTGACTTGGCTGCAATGCTTCACTTATTCTTCTTGCTTCCCCAGCACACGTCGCATTTCATTCCTTCATTGTCGGTACGAGATTGGACGAACGTGACCAATTCCCGACTTCGCATTCCGCCGCGCCTTTGGGAAATAACGCTGTCGCAGATGAGTATTTATGCGAGCTGGACAAATAGCTCATCGAGGACGTGCGTAATTTGTGTTGGGCTCGAGTCGAGTCGCCGAGGGCACGAATAAGAAACTGCGGGTTCCGTTTTCTTATGGCTTGCCTTGGGGTTCACCAGTTGGGTCCCTTTATCCCAGCGATGTCACATATGGGGTTGTCTCGGTTTTCCCGAAAGAAAAAGCTATTTCGGGATAATATGAGGAGTACAGTAAAGTACAGTATTTTTGGCAGCTGTGTAGTTGCGGTGGTGACTGCCGAGGATGAATTTTTAGAGAAAGTACGGTTGATTTCACAGCCGATGAAATTGGCAGTTCTGGGATTCATACCTCAAGGATTTAATATCCGGACTCGGTATAGTGACTTGAGCACAGTTAGAATACAATAACAGACCCCTTCTTTCCCAAAACTGATGGAAATTTTCTTTGTCTATACCAGCGAAAATGCTTCCTCAAATTCTCCCGAGCAGTAAAGGAAGAAAATACTGCACCCCTTTTATTCCCAAGAAAAATCAATTACTTATGATTTTCAATGCCCTCTCAACAATTTCAGTAACAGATATTATGCCTAACAATTAAAATCTGATGCGTCAGACTTTATTCTGGTGTCAAACTGTTTGTTTAACTATTTTCCATTGAAAATTTAATGTGCGACGTGAATCTTGAATCACTGGAACATTTCTGGAAAAATGAATCATTTGAAGTTTTAAACGATGATAGAGACATATTATCTTCATTGCTCTAGTGTGTTCCAGTGTCATTTTCTTATGGTCCATGGAACATAACTAAGTTAATTCTATGGCTCCTTTCTCTAATTTCTTCACATTACCTGAACATCATGAATTTTTTCTGAATTGACAAGTTTCCTGGCGGGTGCCGAAAAATAGCTGACTTGGAACCATAATAACCGAACGTAACCTGGCCCAAATTTCAAGAAATCCAAGTAACGAACCACGTGCTTTTATTTTTATCCAGAGAATTTTTTTCAAACTCTAGTTTGAACCTCCCAACTTTTTCCTGCGAAAAGTCAAGAGAACGTGTTGAGTTGAAATCGAAAAATAGGTTTCTCGCGGAAAGTTCTCTGTGGCTTTCTTGGAAAGTTTCGTGGTACCTATATAGGCATGGAATTGTGTGTGTGGGTGAAAGTGTGATTGCATACCCTTATAGGATATGTTTTGCGTGGCCCATGCCAGAAAATGTGCATCATGAACAAAACAAAACAAAAAATCCTTGTGAAATCGTTCTGATTGATAACCGGTATTACTGCTGTTGCGTCGATGTCAGAGTTAATTTAAAAAGAACTTTGTTATTTCTGTCATCCAGAATATGACTTGGACAGAGGAAAATAATCAACAATATTTGAAATTAAATTTGCAGACATATTTTCTCAAAGTTTAGATCGACTCATCGCGTATAAAAATCAAGAAAATCACACAAAAATTAGCTCTAAAAACATTTAAGAAAGAGCTGTAGAATCTTCTGGAAAAACTGATTCCGAGTCTAATCCGACGAGGTTCATAAGCGACAACGGATTCATAAAATGATCAGGTTTTTTGTTTTCTTCAGAAAACGCAATTATAAATTTAATGATTGATTCGGTGAGCTCAGAGATTTTTTTAAGTTCGTAAAAAAAAGGAGTTGCTTATAATTTCCAGATGAAAGTTGACACATGAAATGTTTATCACGACCTCGAACCAGAAAAAGCTACCAGACGTCTTGAAAATCAATTCAGATTTTTTATTATCATCTGAGGACGAAACCCACGCATTTCGATGCATATACGAACCTCACCATTTAAAATAAAACCATCCTGGCGTCGTCAAAAAATAATATGATGAGGAAACTCTTGGTAATTTAGTCACCGAGCAGCAGTCGTCAGCCATCGAGAATAATTATTATGAAATTTAGTTCAAAGTGTTCTTCAGACGATTCAAAGGCGTTTGATTATTGCAAAGATGAGCTCTGCTTCATTTAATCGCGTCCATCAGTCAGCTCATGCGAATTCTTTGGTGCCTCGGAGCATCCTTTGGTGTCCTTTCGCAGTTGCTCCCTTTGTTCTTGCCAATCCAAGCGTGATGCAATTCATTGCGGTCTGATACAATGTTGAAAGGCTCTCGCAAATAATGTAGTCCTCACAATGTCGAAGGTAGATATGACGCATAGATTTTCCTATACCGCTATAGATTTTCGGAAAAACGCGGTGACATAACTATAACTCTCGTCCCCTGTTATATAATTTTTATTATCTTATTTTCTCGAAAGTCGTATTTTTGGGCTCAGTCATGTTTTCAAATGTAAAGAGGAGCCAAGCCCGTGAATTTAAAAAATTGAAGCGCCAAAAACATATATTTTGGTGCGTCGAAAATGTTTGGACGGGAAGCATTTTTTTTACAAGATTTTGAAAGTTCGCATACTATAGATCGTTGACAAATTAATTCAGTTATAGTTCGGAAAAAATTGTCGGCCAAAGAAATGGAAAATCGATGCCAAGAGAATTCAAAAAATTGAGTGATTGGATGATAAGACTAAGTAATTATTTTTCTGCAATTTTCAAGCCCACTATCAATTTAAATTGTTATGTCGATAAAAATCTTGGAAATCAAACGAAATTTTTCGAGGATTTTGATAAAAATAATCCGAAAATTGTGAAAAAATGTATCCTCATCACGAAAGGAGAAAAATTGAAGGTGTGGAAAATATGGTAATTTTTTATTTCCCTTTAAAATGAATCGACGAATAAATCTGGCCGAATCGTAATTTCATTTCTCCGCTTGTGGCTTCATTCTACAATTCCTGGCGGCGCTACACACGTTTTGATTGCGTGCCAATAAATCCACGCCAATAAATAATGTTTTTTTTCGTGAACACGCGTCAGAATATGGTAACACACTGCGTCTTCATTTCGGAAAAAAACACCTGCATTTTTATTTGCATTCCAATGAGCCTGCGACAGCTTTGTTTGTCCCAAATACCAGTTTTGTTTTCAGTCGCGCGGAATACCAGAAGCGGAACGATTCCAACGTCAGTTTTCATTAATTCTGCGCGTCATAGTCTATCCCAGGATCTTTTTTTTTTCCTTTTAGCTACGCCTACTATTTGCACAATAAATCCAGCACAGGGAAACCGGAAGGAAGCTGGGTAGAACAAATAAAATTGAGACAGGGGTTGACTCAGACTTCCGGCTTGACAACCGATTCCGGTGAAGACTGCTCGAACCAGGCGGAACATGTTGCAACGGCGTCAATGCACAAAGCCCGTTTTGTCGACTCACTCGCGAAAGCTTCTGCAATAAAGAGAAAAAAACAATTGGCAAGAATAGAGATGATGGGAATGCAAAGCTTGTCTGGAGAAAATATCCCTGTCAAAAGGAAAACAAAATTCTGAAAAATACTTTCCTCGATCGAATGATTATAACGCTGCTGCATATTTTGAAATTCAATCTGATTTTTTTTAAATGCCGCCAGCAGAGGATTCTTTTTCTTCGTAGGCAAATCTCTTGGTATTTTTGAATGTTCTGGAGATTTGATTTTGGCACGATGTATGCAGAAGATGATCGGCTGTTGTTGTAGTCCAAAAATATTTTGAAGTAATAAAATCTACGAATCGGTATGTTCCCAAGGATTTTGAATCCTAATGATCTAATTCAATTTCTCAAAAAGTTCACCTTGAAAGCAATTTTTATGCTAAATGTTTTCCGAGCGGAGAGGAAACATTTCTGAATAAACTTCACCCTGACTACTATGATAATTAAACGATTACTTTTTCCAGTAAAAGGTTACAAAATGTTCAGGAAAATAACCTGACAGTATGGCTTGAAGACAGAATCACAAGAATGGCTTTTTCGCGAGAAAACGTTTCTGCGTCAGGACGACGAAGAGTTTACACGAATTTTGCGCTAGTTTTCTGCATTGGATGTGTTCAAGTGGGTTATTTTCTCCTGAGGAATTTTTGCCTGAATGCCTTTTCTTATCGGTGCATTTCTCACTGTATGCCAAGAGAACCCAAAAATTACGAAAAATTTCAAGCCTTTCTTTACACTTCATGATGAATATGCTGCAGAATCTAGTAAATCCAATAGGCTACAAAATGCATAATTTTTTATTCTGCAGGGAAATTTACTCGCAGTTAAGGAAATCTTCTCACGAGAAGAAAATATATTCCTTTTCCCACGGATCTGACCTCACACGGAAACTTCTTTTAAGGAAATGACCACGTTTTATGCTCACGCGAGCAAAAAAAAAAAAACGGAAATCTGCTTTCAGGAGGATTAAAAGGATTGAAAATCCCATTCGTATTCGTATCAACGTCTATTTTGCTGTCAAGAAGTTCATATCTGCATTGCATGTTTATCTCGACAGAGTAAATTAATTTATTCCTGTATGAGGATCCTCGCATTCTTACTTGACGGACATTGAACGGATCCTCGTCATGATTTTTATCGTCAAAATGTTTTCTTTTCCCGACGTAATGCATTTGATGCATACTTTTTTATTTTCAAAATTTTCGGGGCAGTTAAGGTTTTTTTAATATCGTTTCAAAATGTTCATAAATTAAATGTCAGTATTCGTTATTTAATACGGTTGAAAAAATTTACTCGAAAAAAGCTGAACTTTTCGGATGGGCTTTTTTCGCATCAGTATCTTGTCAAGAAAATCATCGGATAATTGAGAAAATTTTCGTATCGACCTGAACTATCCTGAAGCACGTGTACATTTTGCATGTTTTTTAAAACGTTATTGAAGACATCGCAAATTGAGCAAGTGACGTTTAATGGATTTATTTTTAACCCTCTTAAAAAGCACGTGATAATTTATTTATACCAAGAATATTTTATTCAAACGCGCGTGTTGATCATACCAACGTTACCAATTCATGAAATAATCTTCTAATCGTAAGACTATTGTATCAACTTCAATTTGACTATGAATTCAAAGTGAAAAACTTTTCACGGTATGGCCGGGATATGCTTTGAAATTCATCCATTTTTTAAATCGCGCATGCTCAAGACAAACTCGTTATTTTATGAAAATGCTTGAGTCAGAAAATCTTGAATGCTTCTGATGCGATGCACTTTTGGGTATCCTGAAATTGAATGCATTGTGTAATACGAAGCCTGCTGAAATTCGTTCGCCGACGCATTCCTTTCTTTACAGCTTTTTCGAAGACACCAAAAATAATGTTCATTTGCGCCTTCGAGAGGAAATTGGAGAAGCTATTATTAGACTTCATTTGCAAGAATAACAAATGCATTCACGCTTCATTATACACACTTTCGTTGTTCATTTTTTCCTTGATGAAGCGTTCAAATGGGCATATATCTCTTGGAATCTCATCTTGTTCCGCACATGGCGGAAATTGGGTGTCTTTTTGTTTTAGTAGGACAAAATACGATGATAGCAAAAAGAAAAATTTTTTCTCACCTGCGAAGTTGACGTTATTAGACCGTTTCCCGATGAAATATCCGCTCTTGGGCAAGTATGCCAAATCTGAGGCCGATGCAGATTCCATGTGGTCGCGATTTTCGCACGTGGACGTTCGGAACGTGATCGGGAACCATCCGATAAAAAAAGGTAAAGGAAAGTAAATGGTGTTATGACAGATTTGATCTTCTTTAGCCAACACTACTCCGTCTACCGGGCCTGCAACGAGAACACGCCCGTAGAATTCTACAAAAAAATCTCCATCCGAAAGCAGAAAAATGATCATTTCACACAACACGTCGTCTTTTAAAAATTTTCCGCTTTTTTTTCTCCCTGAAGCCGCACAAGTTTTTAATTTTAAAATCATTACCGAACTTCCTGACACTCACTTATTTTTTGAGTTAACTTATTGAATGTCCTTGAAATGAATCGCAAAGAGAAAAAAAGAAGATGTTTCTCACCTAGACCACCTCGTTTGCCCAAGAAAAGCCCGTTGAATGGCAGAGGATCTCTGGAATAGGCAGCAAATCCGTCGTCAATCACCATTCCGATGATGACGAGGATGGCGATCATCTGAGTTGCTGTGCTTTTCGAAGTCATTTTCTCCAAGTCTGAATAATATTCCCTGCGTTCAAGGAAATGTTTTTGGTTTTGTTTGCTCGCTTGAAATAAAAATGGAGCTCGAACTCACGGAATGCAAAAAATCGGAAGAAGCGACTGAAAATGCTCGCTAAAACGAAATCAGCAGAACCCTGGTTGAACCACGCGCTGAAATATTCCTTCTGAGGTCGAACTCTACCCTGAGGTCCAGTTTTATATGCCGGTGTCGAGTGTGTGTGTGTGTGTGTGCCTTTTTTTTTGCACGCATCCCACGCGCATGTCGACACTCGACGTAGATGCGCTATGTCACATGTGGAAGGTCATGTATGGTTTATGCCCATGTACCAAGAAGACGTTGTTTTTTCTGAAAATGGCAATATAGAATTGCTTTGTGGGTATATATATATATATATATATTTACATACAGGAGGTAACACAGGAGCTCGCTGCAGAAAAATCAGCAACACACTTCCAAGCGTAACGTTGTTTTTTCTGAAAATGGCAATATAGAATTGCTTTGTGGGTATATATATATATATATATATATTTACATACAGGAGGTAACACAGGAGCTCGCTGCAGAAAAATCAGCAACACACTTCCAAGCGTGTTCTCAGCCAGCAGACTGTAATTCATCACCAAGCGCGAAATTTTTTTTATTACTGAAAGAAAATGTTGAGACATTGGCCATTTTTCCGAGATCAAAAATACTTGAAAAATTCTTCTAACACTTTCGGACTATGTAGAGAAGTCCTTTGATTTGCAAATTGGAAGTTTAAACAAGATAGACATGCGGTAAAGAATCGCATAATTGAAATTCACCTGATTTTTCGAACGATGTCCAATTTTCTGCCTCAAGTAGCATTAAAATGGCCGAATGGCGCATTCGACGAGAGATAAAAAAAAAGATGCTTTGTGGGTAAAATTTTCATGTAAATTTGTTCTACAGTTTATGGAGGTTGCTAAAAAAAACCATAAAATATACATTTTTCAGACTAATTCAAAGAAAGTCCTATAAATTTCCAGACTGAATTTCGACGGAAAGAGAAGTATTCTACAGGCTGCCTCAGTAAAACCGAAGACATTTTCCGCTTTTTCAATAATCAAATTTGTTTCTAGAAATAATTTGAAACCAGAATTTTCTCCAAAATCCTCTGCTCACGTTATGCGATATGGAAACCCATAAAAAAGGCAATTCGATGAATAATGATGATAGATTGGTAAATTTACCCTTTATGTTTCCTATATACATATCAAAACTTTTGCGAAGCACTGCTTATTGGTTATCTCCGAACGATATTAATGAAGAAAAATGGTACAGTATTCTAACTTCATATTTGTTTTTTTTTTCAGATATTATTGGCGAGTGAAGGATTTGCAGTACAAAATAACTTCTTGGGGCCAGAGACGCTCCTTGCGGTCGGAGAGCTTCTACGTGTTCACCTACGGATACCGGATGTACATCCGGATTTATCCGCGTCACAACAACGAGAACTTCTACATTCACGTCGGTCTGACGCAAGGAGAATACGACCAACTGTTGCCTTGGCCTTTCAAGCTGAAGCACTTCGTCACGGTGCTCGATTTATCCCAGGACAAGCCGGAAGATTTGAACTCCAGGTGGGCTGCACATCATTTGACAATATTTTTTGTGATACTTTTTTGAATATAGAAAAAGTCACCCGAGGTCAAGGTATGGTCATTAACTGCTTGGTTATGAGAGTTTAAAGGCGTTTGCTGGAATATACGAGTACACGTGGAGACAAAACCGCGTGAGATGAAAACGAATATATTTATTTTATGCAAATCAGACAATAAGTGGAAACTAGTACGAAATCTGCTTATAAAATTTTAGAATTTTCCTGGTGGATGAGCAATTTTCTGAAATTAATTCACATGGCCTATTTTTCAAGTTTTTCTTTCATAGACAAAGCCTTTTGAAGTTCCCTCGGCAATTTTTAAATTTAAATAATATCGCAATCCCATCACTGATCTTCTATTTCATAAAAAAAATTGTTGAAATTAGCCGTAATTATAATGCAGTATATTTAGGACTTCCGCCTGGAATGATTCCCATTTGAAATAATCACCTATAAATTGACAGAATTTCAACTCACCAGTGAGTTCCAAGCAGAAATACCATGAAGACTTACTCGTCGTCTGTAATTTCAATGAAAATTCGCAGAGGAATTAGAATAATGGTAAATAAGCCATAGAACGATCATGTTTTCAATGAATTCATTCCCCAAGGCCTACTTCTGAGCCATGGTGATTCAACTTACATGAAAAATGTTAAGAAGATGAATTCTAGTTTAACTCGCGCTTGAAACGAGTTTCTTTGAATTTCGTAACATATATGTTAAATTAAAAATTACTTTTCATTGCCTCCATTTTAAAATTTCAAATTATGACGTATTTTTCAAAGATCTCACTCGTAGTTATATCCGTAGAAGAAATTAAAATGACCCACGAACTTCACTGTTTGATGTATAATTATTATGCGCGGTGCTTCCTAATGGATTTAATAATTTAGCTAAAGATTTCAAAGTGCGTTTTTTTTTTTTTTTTGCTTTGATGAGCTTAACAAATCTAGCATGGTATCATGAAGCAGTGGAAAAAGTTACTTCACTTTGTTCTGGCTCCATGTGTGATCTACATTTGATGGGTCCGACACCCACAAACTTTCTCGCAGAAAATTTGCAACCCCTAAAGTTGGCAATTGAAATTTTTTTCAAGTTTTATTGGTGCGCTTTGAGTTTTAATTCAATTGTGCTGCTCATGATGATGTGAATCGCATAATGGTTTCCGTCAGTCTCATTCTTTGTGGTTAAGTTCTTGGTCGAAAAATCTTGAGTTGATGTTTTTGTGGCACTTCTGTGGAAATTTTCTGGCGCGGTCTTGTGACGGTTTCCTCCACACGACGGTTGCAAAACTTGGCGACGTGAAATTCTTTTTTGAAACGCGCTTTGATTGACGTGGCGACATTTCGTAAAAACAAAAGTTTAGACGACTTACTTCTGCAGTTTATTTGATATCATAACCCTTTTTCTCTTCTTTTTTTATCAGACTTTGGGACCCGAAGGAATTGTGTTCTGGTTGGAATTGGCGACGACCTGCGACCGGAGACAACTACGAATGCGTAGGACTTGGATTCCCGATTGACTTGCTGAAATCCCGGAATTACATCGTGGATGATTCAGTGGTTTTGCGTCTCACCGTGTTCCTGGATTCGGCTTAGAAACATATTTTTGATCTAGATACTCAGTAGTATTAAAAATGATCATACTAACGATTTTCGGCAAATTGCCTTATATATTTGGTCAACGAACAAACAAAAACTGAATTAAACAAACTCATTTGAAGATGGAAGCGTTTTTCGGTTCCAAGTTATGATATCAAAGTTTTCTTAATGTCAGATCTATAATGACGGGATTTTTGAAGTTTTATCAGCATTGAAAGAGATTTCACAAGCTGATTTCCCTCAATATCCTGAAAAGCAAGAGATGAAAGTTTCGCACATGATTTCATTAAATGCATGACCTGAGGGTGCCAATTAAAAAAAAATGTATGCGGTCTGATTCTACTGAATCTGCATAAAGTTACACTTCTTCTGTAGCAGTAAATACCTTATGCCTTGAACCTAATAGTTTCAAAAGACAAACATAAATTTTAAAAAGCTTGCTGAAAAAGTGGAAATATTTTCTTCGCCTTCATGCCGAAACTAGTAAACTCTCTTACACGTATTGGGTTTTATTTTTCTTTTTTTTAAATCTGATATGAAAGCACAGTGAAGGTTTCCTCGATAATAATTGAATTCAAAAGAGGTGCTCGAGATATCGATCAATTGTTATTTCTTGTGAAATTATCTTGTCCTGGGTTTAAGTGGGGTTTCCTGATAAATATACAGTATTTTAGCTCATTTTTTAATGGTAGAAACTGCCGTCACGACGTTTGACAACTAACAAATGTGTCTTCATTGCATTTTGACTTGATTTTAAACTGCTCAAGTTCCTGCTTCTCTTCCGCTTTTCAAAGCATAAGTATTTCGCAAGCCTACAGGTGGTGAAAATACTTAGAATGCGTATATTCAATCAAAAATTTTCAGATTGTTGCTGGAGATGAATTCAGTGACATACTGTAGTGGCAAGAAATAACTAAAAATCCCTCTAAATCGGTATAAATTGTGTTATGCATATTTTATATACTTAGACCTCAATTTGATTCTACAATCATGATTCTACAATCTTCGCTAATATGTCTTCATCAGTCAAAGACCGGAAAACATGGCGCCGATTGAAGCTAGAATTCGAGCAGGCTTCAATGTATTCTCTCGATTAACTATAGTAATTGGTTCGAGCTGTCAATGAATCCACTCGTTCGAAGATTGCTTAGACATTATCTGATATTTGATTCGTTCAAGGGTTGAGAGATATGGCTCATTAAGAGTCAACGGACCGAGAAACTCTGTTGCGATGACATCTAGGTGGTGTGCTCTCAATCCCGTATCACAGACGATGAGGGTCGTCTTTATTTTTACATATTTTATTGAACCGGAATATTGTGTTTCGGATCCATTTTTTCTTCTTTTATTTTTATGTTTGATTTGTTTGTTGAGTAACCTTACTGATGGAAGAAGATGCGATTCGGCGACGCCCCGGCAAAAGATGGCCTTCTGGGCAACTTCCGCGTGGTGTCGTCTTCGTGTTCCGCTTCCCGCTTGTCGCTTGAAGGCGGAAACACACAAAAAAACGCGGACTCATTTGCTGGTTTCGGGATTTATTTATTCATTTATTTATTAACGGTTCCTTTGCGGGCATTGTTCGGTACTGAACGAAAAAAATATATATACATAAATATATACAGTATTGAACAGAGTTATTTCTCTACACAGCATAAACAATTGACGGGGAGAGGAGTTGCTTTTATTGCTTGTTGCTGGTTTGGTGCAAAGCTGAAACTTCCGCTGCGAATACTTTTTCCGGTTTTAGCAGCGCGAAGAATTGCTATCGTAGTTTTCCGGAAGTTGGCTAAAGAACAAAAGTTCCGGAAAAACTTTGTATTTTCCTTTCTTTTTCTTCACGTCCGCTGGTTTGGAAGGAGTCTCGTGCTTCTGCGGTTCATTAAACTTGTATTTACCTTCATCACGATGTTGGACGATTCAGCGCGTCAATACATTTAAACTACAGTATTTTTTTTAGCCGAGGTTAATTATTTGTGGTTTTTGGGCGTCTGTGTGTTATGCTTCATGAAGATTTTTTGGACTTCCTGTCCGAAATCATTTGAAGAAATAAGTGGCGTAGATCTGATGTGTTTTATGGTTCAAGTGTTGAAAAAGGTTTTTAACTGTCGCTTGATCAGAGGGAACCAAAATTTAAATCTTTAAAATGGAGGTTGACAAAACATTTTTCATGCTGCAGAATCACTCTTCCCTCATCTGTACCTTCAACAGAAATTTCCTTGAATACTTAAAAAAACAGGTAATGCCCTTTATTGTTTTCAAAGAAAAAATGAAACACACTAACGCTTTTTTAAACCACTCATTGACAAGTGTTTTTAATATCGTGAAAAATGCAGGTAAAATTGAAAAAAAATACAGCTGCGGTCAAAATTTCCGGTTCATATGAGTGACGATCAAATCACTGCATTTTTCTTAAAAATTCGGCATTTCGTCTTCGAAAACGTTTATGGGAAGTCTTCTATAAATTTTAAAGACTGATGGAACCGCAGATCCGAGTCAAAAGAATTGAAGTAAGAGTGAAACCCTTTAGACGGAATTTAGATTCGTACATAAAATGGACGGATATCCGGAAAATGGAGAAATGGGCATTAAAAATAAAATATATTCTGGGACATATTTAATCTTTTTTTTAAGGAATGTGAGACAAGAGTATATTATGTGAGAGGAAATTATCAACTAACTGGGGACGAGCAATAATAACTAATTAACCCATTTGCGACAATTTCTCCCATCTGTGTTTGACGAAAAGCAGAATCCACTGGAGAACAACAGTACATTTCTTGAGACGACGCTTGGGATCGTCTGAAGCTTAGAATAATGTGCTCTATATAGCTGTTTCATCTAAGCAAAAACGAGGCGAAGGGATACAATAATTGCAACAAACTTTTTTTTTCCTTTTTCAGGAATCATCTGCTGTAGAGGAGATGATCCAGGCCTACAATGAAACAATGTTAATTAAGCTGTGCTGAGAAGTAATACCATTCAAACCGGGAAATGCGGTGGTATTTTCAAAAGTTTTTAAGCAAATGAAATAAGGCGAAGAAATCATTTGAAAAGAAAGGCTCGCACTGAAAATAATCAACCTTCACTATCACTGATGGAGATGATTCAGGTTCGCTGCAAACGATTTTCATTAATTTCAATGGACTTTTCGAGATCAAGAATCCGGACTCATGATTTCAAAAGGTTTACTATAAACCTCCCCTTTTACCTGTCAACAGCCTCCTATAGTCACGAAGATTTTATATGTAAAAAAATGTGAACCACTTCCTCGAAATATCATGGACTTCGTATTTGACTTCACACTATACCCATTTCATTGTAGTGAAATGCTTTTTCTTTGAAATCTTACAGAAAATGATCAATCATACAAATTACAGCTGCTTATTTCGTCGTTATAGTGGAAATCTTTTCCAAAAATCTAGTTTCTTCGTTTTTTTACGCCTACAAATTAAAAATTTGGGAACTGAAAAAATTAGGCGAATTCTTAAAAATCAGCGAAATTTATTTTTTAGATGAAGAAAGCTGCGTAATGAAGAGGTGTCTGATTTCTGCGCATAGTTTTTCGGCCATCATCCCAATAGCCTTTTTTTATATCATATTTACGCATTATTATTCTCTAAGCCCGTTTTAGCATTCTTATTATCTCGAGAAATATCCATTTCGGCTTTCTGTCGAAATTTAAATTCCCAATTCAGAAATTTTTGAACATTTTATCGTCAGAAGAATCGATCATTATTCAGTTAAAGAAGGTTTTTTGAACTTTTTGGGACTGTATTATTTGTATTCAAAATTCATAAGAAATTGCAGAATATCTTCAACTCAGCAAGTTGCCCATTGCGCACAAGGTATCACAAATCATGTGATGCATTCCCGATTACCTAATTTCTTTTGTTCTTTTTTGATAGCAAAATTTTGAGTTTGAAAAAAAAAACCGAAGACAGAAAACAATGTAGACGACCCGTTACAGAATAAGTTCCGACAATGCATGTCTCGTA